GATCCAGCCATTGTTTCCCACAGCATTGTTGTTTTCCAGTATTTTGCCTTTTAATCTATATTTACATATATGGGGGCTGTATATCTATCAAATAGATAAATAACGTAAAGATGTTCCGTATATTTTACGTACTATATCATATAGACCTATGTACTGTAAACTGTTACGTAGACTTGATAATATATAATTATATTATATATAGGGGCTGTGTATATCAAGATAAATAACGTGAAGATTTTATGTAGATTTTTAATTAAGAAAAACAGACACATTATAAAACATGGAGAAACTATACGGTAGACAAAATACTTTTTCTCTTTTGAACAAGTTGTGGCTCTGAAAAGAGCCTTTTGGTTTGAAATAACTGATGATACAGCTTATGCACGTTCACCACGGATACGGCGGGCTAGTTGGATGTCTTTCGGCATAATAGTTACACGTTTGGCGTGGATAGCGCACAGGTTGGTATCTTCGAAAAGACCGACCAAGTAAGCTTCGCTAGCCTCTTGAAGAGCCATGACGGCAGAACTCTGGAATCGGAGATCGGTTTTGAAATCTTGGGCGATTTCTCGGACAAGACGTTGGAAGGGTAGCTTGCGGATGAGGAGTTCGGTGCTCTTCTGGTAACGACGGATCTCACGGAGAGCGACGGTTCCAGGCCTGTAACGATGAGGCTTCTTGACACCACCGGTGGCCGGAGCACTTTTACGTGCTGCCTTGGTAGCAAGTTGTTTTCGGGGAGCTTTACCTCCGGTAGATTTACGGGCGGTTTGCTTAGTACGAGCCATTTTTATTTTCAAATTACGTGTAACAGTAACACTGATGATCAATTTTCAAAGACTGAAATTTATATTGAGAAGACGTTTGTTAAAAACCATTCTGATTGGTCCGAATTTTACGGACGTGTTTTTCAGCATCGATTCGACCAATCAGGTCACTCTAGTGCAGTGAATTCTGAATTCGCGCGTTTTTTGTATTTGTACACTGGTACAGCACTGTAAAGCCCCTCTCCCACCTAAGAGTCGTACGATTTCTACGAGTTAAAACTCGTGATCTTTGGAACGAGTTAACTACGAGATTGTTACGAGCGTAAGAAGTTTGTACCAAATTAGATACGAGTTAGGTACGAGCCAACTCGGTGCGCTCGTGCTTACTCGTACTCGTTTTTGGGTGCTCGCATCAAACTCGTAGATGACAAAACCGCCGACGAGTATCCAGAGTAGTGTACGAGCTAAGTAAGAGTACCCCGAGTTCTTCGAGTTTACTACGAGTTATCTACTCGTGGCGATAATTTTGAACATGTTCAAAATTAGCGCCACGAGTTCAGAGCTGCTACGAGTAGGTGAGAGTCCTCTCCGAGCTTTCCGAATCGTCCTACGAGTTTTTGCCGAGTTAGCAACTCGGCATTCTCTTGTAACTCGTATGCTGAAAAAAACCCTTGTGGGAGAGGGGCTTAAGTATATATAATTAAACTGTATTGATATTGATAACTACTGTGCCTATTGTCTTATTTTACCGAAATTGCTACATAAGTTTAGGATAGAACCAAAACACATTAATTATTACAAATAGTATTTACTTGGTTTCAGGGGCCGCGGTGGATCAAGAATTTTCAAACGGAGGTGTGTGGGGTGGGTTTGGCATTTTGTATTTTTTTAAATTTCAATTCACTGAAATTTAAAAATTTTGTGTCAAAACGGACTTACGGACGGGGCGCACGTTGGATCTTCGCCTAGGTTTCATGCCGTTTGAAGTCCAGAACTAACGACAAAACTGTTGGCTTTTTCCTAGATAACGGGTATATTTAATGTCACATCTCCTTCGTTAAAAGAGCTTATAATAACATTGTATAAAAGGCACATCTTCAGGTATTATATTTTGTCTAGTTATGCTGTTAAACCTAATGACATAAAATATGGTATTTAAAACGTACTACTGTATCAACATGAACATTCATTAGTCAACGTTATTAGTTACGCCATTACAATGTTGGAACACTGTCCTTATCTGCTACGTGTCCTAAAGTCATACACTCGATCGAATATCTATACTGTATTCATATGTGTAATGTTCTCACTAATTCAATTAAAAAAATAATCTTTTTGAATGGATATCTATACTGTATTCATATGTGTAATGTTCTCACTAATTCAATTTAAAAAATAATCTTTTTGAATGGAGATGAAGTGTCACTGAAATTGATGTCTCCGATTTTAAATTTTGGTGTGTTTTGGTATTTGCATTTACAGTAAATTGTTTTGACAATTTATTCATATGTAGGCCTATTCTGTACTGTATATTCACAAGCATCAACAGAGATTCGTCAACCGCACAGAAATGCCTTCAACACCACACCTGAAGGCACATATTAATGCGTTGTATTGGATATCATAGAACTGTAAAACCCCTCTTAAACACTATTATAATATGTTTAATATATATATAGAATACAGAAAGAAAACCATCCAAATAGCTAGTGCTGGGCAAGCAATCATTTTCTTTTAGGCGAATATAAATTAAAATTTTTATATATTTTGATTCAAATTTGTTCCCCGCTGAGCTGTTATAACCATTTAGCGATACTTTCTTTTTATCGCATCAAACCTATTTTGAATATCATATACTGTACTGCGACATAAGCTTTTGCTAGGCTGCACTATTTGGTGTTGCCAAAGCCTTTTTCTCATGAGTTACGATACTTTTTAAGAATACAATCTGTTTATAACACGTGAAAATACATAGGCAGAAGCAATCATTCTCTTTTGTTCAAATGGTGGCTCTGAAAAGAGCCGTTTGTTTTGAGGGAAATGAGTAGCTTATCCACCGAATCCGTACAGGGTTCGGCCTTGTCTCTTCAAGGCGTAGACGACATCCATGGCGGTGACGGTCTTTCTCTTGGCGTGCTCGGTGTATGTGACAGCATCACGGATGACATTCTCCAGGAATACTTTCAATACACCACGGGTCTCTTCGTAGATGAGACCAGAAATACGTTTGACACCACCACGACGAGCAAGACGACGGATAGCTGGTTTGGTGATACCCTGGATGTTATCACGCAAAACTTTACGATGACGCTTAGCGCCTCCTTTTCCAAGTCCTTTTCCTCCTTTACCACGTCCAGACATACTGACTGTTCGTATTCAGAATTCTGATTCCAAATGTGCTTGGTACGGTGTACGCTGAATAAAATATACACTGTATGCGGACGTAAAATGAGCTACTTTTGTCAATAGCAGTTCTTAATCGCGTCATGCACGTTGTTCGTCATGCAATGACCTCGTGAAACCTTGTTTAGCGGGAGTTTTGACAAAGTGAAATAATAGCGGGAATTTCCAACAATTTTTTGTACGTTTCTGTGGGAGAGTCAATAATAAATCAACGAAACCTGCCTAAACGTCTTCATATCTCATCTTGTGGGTTTTACAACAAATTACTCTTGATTAGTTGTTTATCTTCATAATCTTCATATATTTGATGTATAAATTTCCGTTTGTATTTAATAGTAGGACTGTAGCAAAGGTGGGCATAGAAATCGCTCGGAGGGCCAAAGCGAAATTTTTGTTTTAACACCGAGGGCCGCACCCAAACTTTGATGTTTAGTGAGCTTCTGAAAACCTCCAAGCACTGCTTTTACACAACTTTATTCTCAGTTTTGAATGTTACCCTTTACATACAGAATCGGTGTCGGGCCGTAAAAAAAAAACAACGGGTTTTCTAGCCAATGTTGCTTGGCTGGCCGCATAGCGTTGTTAATTCTTTTTCGCTGGCAGCAAAAAAAAAAAAAAAATCGCTGTCGGGCAGCAATTTCCTACCTATGGATTCTAGGAATGAAACCCTTACACATTTGACACTATTGTTCAATTTTTAGACATAGATATGTAAATAAGTAAATGTGCACCTAATGTAACCCCGTATATTGTACTGTATATAAGCAGTAAGTATGTACGTTTATATGCATGTGTGTATGGGGCGAATTTAGGCAGGAGAACGCATTCCTTGCCATCTGAGCTAACCATTGTTATTATTAATAAGCTAATATGTTTATGGCCGATTCCCTTCCATTATTATAAAAAAAAAATCTATTTTATTTACAAGTGTATTTTATATTGAGGATACCTTACTAATAATGGTGAGCTGCATGGGCTATCACACTAAGTGTTTCGTAACAGGATTACACAACACGAATCATAATTATTGTAAACATATCTGTATAATTACATTTAAGCCTATAATTAATTTTAATATCTGTATATTGTGTGCAGGACATGTATTGCTATTAAGTGGGCATATATAAATTTGCACTTCATATAATCAGAGAAAATAAAATAATAGAGATGTGTATACCTCTGTGTAGGTATATGTCATGTGTACAGTATGATGTATTTATGAAAATATAATAGAGATGTGTATACGCCTGTGTAGGTGTATGTTATGTGTACAGTATGATGTATTCATGTAAATATATACTACCTTTGACCAAAAAAAATAATTCCAATCAGACCAGAAAATAAATTTGTTAACCAAATATTACAGTACACAAACAAGACAAATACATTAGGCAAGCAATCATTCTCTTTTGTTCAAATGGTGGCTCTGAAAAGAGCCGTTTGGTTTGGAAAGTAGTATGTGAAGAATTTACTTCTTGGCAGCCTTCTTTGGAGACTTAGATGCCTTCTTTGCTTTTGGCTTTTTCGGCTTCTTTGACTTCGGCTTCTTAGGAGACTTGGAAGCTTTCTTTGGCTTGGATGCCTTCTTTTCAGACTTTTTAGCCTTCTTCGGTGATTTGGTAGCTTTCTTGGCCGCTGGTTTCTTTGCTTTCTTGGCCGCTGGTTTCTTAGGCTTCTTTGTCGCCTTCTTGGCTGCCTTCTTTTCCTTATCTGCTGCTGCCTTTTTCTTGGCCTTTTCCTTCTTTGCTTTAGCAGCCGCATCAGCCTTTGCTGCAGCTTGGTTTAACTTGAATGAACCGCTGGCTCCAGTACCTTTGGGCTGGACAAGTTTCTTGTTATCAACCCCACGCTTTAGAGCCATACGAAGATGGGTCTTCATACTGGTAGCATCAACCTTGTAGTTGGCCAGGATGTACTTAGCAATAGCTTGACGAGAAGAACCATTCCTCTCCTTCAAAGCACCGATAGCGGCCGTGATCATGTCGATGTAAGTTGGGTGAGCTGCTGGCTTCTTAGGTGCAGACTTCTTAGATTTAGCTTGGTCAGCCATGTCGAATAGGAATTAGAGCAACAAGTTAGTACAATACTAAGCAAACGCTAGTGAATGATTCGTGCAGTGTTCAACAAACGACGGTACTTATTCCGTTATTGCGGACCGAGAATAACACAGCGTAGAACCCTGAATTGAAATCGCGCTTTCACGATTGTTGTTACAAAATAATTTTTTTGTACTAAATTGTGTTTCCTTCTGTGTTTATACTTCATTAAAAAGCATATTTTTATACTTACATATTTAAATTTACTTGTATAATATTCTTTAATACCTTGTTTTTCATTATAACATAGTTTTAAATCATAAATTCAAAGTGTTACGACGAAGTACACTAACAAACATTAGACTCAATATTTTTTCTAAATTATGAACATATTTAAATACTGTTAATGACAATTATATAAACAAAATTATAGAAAAATATAGCAACATGAGAACTTTATGCTATATTTTTAAGTAAAAAGGAAGAAAATAATCATTTAGAATATGCTTTATATGCAATTTTGAAACGATAATGTAGACAGCTTGCACAGACACCTTGATCGTTATTTTTTTTATAGAAATATTAATGGCGCTACAGATTATCCTTTAGTTACAGTACACTAACGATTTTAAACATAATTTCTTTAACTTAGCTAACACAAATAATGATAACTTATTTTATCTTGATATAGGCCTACTAGTCTTTTATATCTACTTTCTCATTATATTACAGAGGCTTAATAGGCCTGTAATGTATAGTATAGTATAATTTGCACTTCGTGATGTTAAAGTCTTGTTATCTTACTTTAGATGGATTATTAACATTTAAAATTAATATTATATATTTTAGCTAACACAAACTATTAATTATTTTATCTTTATATACTAGTTCGTTATATCTATTTGCTTATACAGTAGTACAGTATAGGGTATACATCCATGGTTATACAAAGTGAAACGCACTGTAGGCCTACACCAGTATCTATTTTGAGGATAAATTTAAAACTGTATACTAGAATTTATTGCTTAGAAGTCGGCAAAATATATAAATTTGAATAAAATATTATATATTTAATAGCTAACACAAGCTATCACTTATTTTATCTTTATAATAGGGTTAATAGACTTACAATGTATATCAGTATAATTTGCACTTGTTGATGCCTTATTATCTTTAATACTTCAGAGGATTAATTAACATTTGAAATAATTATTATATGTATTGATAGGCCTACTTGTTATTACCCATCTTACAAAAGTCAGTAGCTAGATTAATTAGTGTCCATATTAATACTAATGTGGATTAAGTTACAGGATGCAGGCCCATAGCCAGGTTCTTCCTGGGGGTGCGGTGGGTTTTTTGGGCGCGAGGTCCACAGTCGAAGCCCCGGTGGGGTCGGCGAAACCCCCAAAGCAAGAGGATTTTTGTGCTTTAATTATGGGTCTAAATAATGCTATAAAAGCAAATATGTTTGAAAATGTCTGCCTGGGTGGGTCTGCAGTGCAATAGTTGGGTTGGAGGACTTATTTGGGAAATTTAAAGAGGGGGTTTCGCCAGAAAAAAAAAGGGGGGGGGGGGTTTGCTAGAAAAAGAGGTTCCAATGAACCCCCCCCCCCCCCCGGACACGGGCCTGAGAATGTAAGTTACGGTATATCTAATACATTTTACACATAGGCCTATCCCCGTTAGAAGCTGTAGACATAGGAGACAACTACATACAGTAATTATACCTTTGCCTACTATACACCAAGGAGACTCAGTGATGTGAGTTTATATTTAATATTTATCTTTAGTATTTATCTTTGGAAACCATAATGATTAAATTAGTTTAATAATCCCGTGTTCATTTGCAGACAGCATATCTTATAGATATTTCTTTTATATCTTTATATCTCAGTTGAACCGTTGGTTCAGTTTAAATATATCCCTAATGTGTACACCGTTCTTTAAATCATTCAGTTTATACCATTGATAATTTGTTATTTTAACCGTTGGAAAACTACACCGTAAGAAGTAAGAAATAAATGAACGCGTAAACAATTCATTATGAATTTTGTTTGCACCGCTTTTAACGTTTAGCGACATTACAAATAGAGTAGTGACTTTGAAATCAGGGTGCAGGTTACAGATTGATTGGAATTCTAAATGAAAGAACACATAAGCAAGGAAAAATCCCCATAAATTAATGGTCAATTGACAAGATTAGGTTATACAAAGTAATAAACGCTGTGTTCCTATACCAATATCTATTTTAAGGATAAATTCAAAACTGTTTACTAGAATTTATCGCTTAAAAGTTGGCAAAATATATAAATTTGAACGAAATATTGTTATTTTGAAGCCATTGTAGTGATACCATAAAATAGCAATATGATAAGAAAAAATATAGTGTCCTTTAATAGGGGTGGAAAATGTATTGATTTGACCAACTGGCACACTTAGAGGGTGTCCCAACCCCTTAGGCTCCTCCTAATAGGGGTGCAGGTTATGGTGGATTGGAATCCTATGTGAACGAACACATAATGAAAAAAAATAACATAAAACATTTTTTAAAAAAATCCCCATAAATTAATGGTCAATTGACAAGATTAGGTTATACATAGTAACCCACGCTCTGTTCCTATACCAATATCTATTTTAAGGGTAAATTCAAAATTGTTTACTATAATTTATCGTTTAAAAGTTGGCAAAATATATAGATTTGAATGAAATATTGTTATTTTGAATCCATTGTAGTTGTAGTGATACCATAAAAAAAATGTAATATAATAAATAACAAATATATAGTCTCCAATAGGAGTGGAAAATGTATTGATTTGACCAATTGGCACACTAAGAGAGTATCTCAATCTCTTTGTGCCCTCTTAATAGGGGTGCGGTTTATAGTATGGATTGGAATCATATATGAACGGACACATAAAGAAAAAAATCCAAAAAAATTAATGATCAACTTTACAAGAATAGGTTTCCACAAAGTAACACACATTTTGGGCCTATACCAATATGTATTTTACGGATAAATTAAAAACTGTTTACTAGAATTTATCGTTTAAAAGTTGGCAAAATATATAAATTTGAATGAAATATTAATATTTTGAATCCATTGTAGTTGATAACCCTAAAAAATATATATATATATATATACATATATACATGTATATATATATATGTGCTCGTGCATGTGTATACTATATGTATATATGTATACAGTATTTGTATTTACGTGTTTGTATATTTAGTAATTTGATATGCATTTATTCAAATAAATAAAAAAATAAATAAAATAAATAAATAAATAAAAAATAAAAGGTGGTTTTTAATGTATATTTCTAGTTAAGTGTCTTTCTTTTAAGTTATTTGTTATGATTGACGGACCTCCTGAGTGCCGCTGATGTAAATGGTGTCTGTATAGAGTCAATAAAAGATTTGATTTGATAATTATATGAAACACAAGCTTTCGCATTACTTATACAATCACCTGAAGAAGGATACTGTTTGTGTTATAATTATCCCCTAGAACTCAAGCTACTATATTGCTTTACGTAAATTAAATCAACACATAGGCCTACAGATATTGCACACAAATCTCTTTTGAACTTTTGGTGGCTCTGAAAAGAGCCGTTTGGTTTGAAATTGCAGAGTAATGTAGTTTACTTGGAGCTGGTGTATTTGGTGACAGCCTTGGTGCCTTCGGATACGGCATGTTTAGCCAATTCACCGGGCAGTAAAAGACGAACGGCAGTTTGGACTTCCCTGCTGGTGATGGTAGATTTCTTGTTGTAGTGAGCAAGACGAGATGCTTCACCGGCAATACGTTCGAAGATATCGTTGACGAAGCTGTTCATGATTCCCATAGCTCTGCTTGAGATACCAGTGTCTGGGTGAACTTGCTTCAACACCTTGTAGATGTAGATGCTGTAGCTTTCCTTGCGCTTACGTCTTCTCTTCTTGTCACCAGTTCTGACGGCCTTAGCCTTACCGGCTTTTTTGGCAGCTTTTCCTGAAGTTTTTGGAGGCATGTTTTCTATGTATAGTCTACGAATAGATGAGTGACGAACGTTTGAGCGAGCACGGTATTTATAGAGTGATATATGCAAAGTAGGACTTCTCGTTCGGCTGTATTATCTCAAGGGTTCCTATTGGTTGTGGAAAACGCGCGATTTATTGAATTGGTGATAATTGTGCTATGCGGGCTTTAACCGCATAGAAGACCTTATCAAAGAACCTATTATTCTAGCTCCTATTACAACGCCCAAAATTGTTTTTGTTCAAAATAGCACGCGCCTAAAGTTAGTTACAGAAAATGGCAATGAAATTGAAATGGCGCCCAATTTCCAAGGTGAGTAAAACAAGTACTTAACACTATAGTACAGTATGGCAGATAATAATACAAGTAATTAATACTTTCAGCATGGCGGATAATGATACAGTACTAATGTGTATAAATATAGTATCTGTGGTATGATTGATTTTATTCTGCTGTCTTAACAACAATTAATTCAAACGTAGATTTTTAAAAAATAAACTATAATGGAGATATATTTCTATACACACAAATGAGAGTGTAAAGATGTGTAAAATCATAATGCACATGGCAAAAAAGCCTTGATGTTAAGATTTTTAAATTTTTAGAATTTCTTATTTTGAAAATTTGGAAATCTAGCGGACCCCCTGTGCACCCTTTTGAATTGGCTTCACAAATTGGACATTTTATCTCGGCCACAATTTGTTCTTATTAGTTTTTCATTTTTAAGCAATTTCAGCCTCAATGTTCTTATAAAAATTTGTTCACTGTTTGATATATCTTTGGTCATAGTGCCTAAAGGTGAAATAAAATATTAAACATTATATTAGGAAGTACACTTTTTTTTTTATAAGAACACATTTTATAAGAACACTGAGGCTGAAATTGCTTAAAAATTAAGAACAAAATAAGAACAAATTGAGGCTGAGGTAAAATGTCAAATGATATTTTTATTTCAAAAAACTTAAAAAAACCCCCCAAAAATCATATCTGTACCTTATGACGACGGTGTGATTATGTAAACCCTCTATACAGTAGTACCTACCTGTCGTTCAGGGTCATTTTTACCAGGGCCTTTTTTTCGGGGGCCATTTTTTTTCTATATTTGAAAAGTATGTAAAAATAAGAACAAAATAAGAACATCTTGAGTCTGAAATCGGCCGAAAAATAAGAACACTGAGCCTGGTCAAAATTTTACTGGTTCTTATAAAAAAAAAAGTGTATTATGATATGATTATGTTGAATACATGTGATGATTTCATCACAAAACAGAAAAGAACTATATGTAGCTAATAAGTGCCACTTAGGTCAAGTCTGTACTTTTTGTCGAGATCAGTTAGCCTATTTACTGTATTTGTCATTTTTTGTCATCTTATTATTATTATTATTATTCTGCTATCTTAAGATTAAAATTGCCTACCTTTATCCACTGTACCTTATTGTATTTTTTTAAAAATGATTGTCACTGCAATAAGTGTGTCTAAATAAATATGAATAATTTGCTAGCAACGATTATAAATGCTGTAAAAATCGGTTATTATGTGTATATTTTTGTTATACGTGTTGTAATATCTGATAGCTTTAAGTTACAGATTTTTAGTGCCTGTTTTCTCCATCACGGTATGTAAAATATATCTATTTTGACCGTGCTATTCAAGAAAGATGAATTTACCGAGACGGAGAAAGGGGGACAACACATTTTTATTTCATACATAAAATACTGTCATGCGTGTCATACATACAACACACTACAGTCACATCAAATGCACACAATTTAGCAGCCATGTTTCAAATCTCTTTTGTGTATTTGGTGGCTCTGAAAAGAGCCGTTTGGTTTGAGAAGATAGGCCTAGTTGATGGAATCTACTTGGACTTGGCCTGGGTCTTCTTTGGCAGAAGTACAGCCTGGATGTTTGGCAATACACCTCCTTGTGCGATGGTCACACTTCCGAGAAGACGGTTCAACTCTTCATCATTACGGATAGCAAGTTGAAGATGACGGGGGATGATTCTGCTCTTCTTGTTGTCACGGGCAGCGTTGCCAGCCAACTCCAAGATTTCAGCAGTCAGGTACTCGAGTACAGCAGCCATGTAGACTGGGGCACCAGCACCGACTCGAGATGCATAGTTACCCTTTCGCAAGAATCGGTGAACACGACCGACTGGGAACTGAAGTCCAGCACGGCTTGATCGGCTCTTGGCCTTTCCCTTAGCTTTTCCTCCTTTACCACGTCCAGACATTTTATTTCGTGTTTCGGTTTTACTAAAATCGAGAATGGATAATTATTTAACAAAATAGTTACGTTTATATACCCTGCTCTAGTGTTGCGTTTGGCTTCTAGCGCTCACTGGATTAACCAATCACAGACACTCCCGCCTTGGCTTATTTGTGACCTAATACCGTTCTATTGTTCATTTGGCGGGAAGTTACAAATTTATTGGAAATCATTGGCGTATGCAGGTAGTCTATTCAGTACTGTAAAATTGCAGGTACAGCATTATATTTTATAATAAATATACAGTAACGTGGTACAGTATTACTAAATTGTTAATATAGTCAATAAAGTAAAGGATATACCGTCTGTGATAAAATACATAGAAACTCGCTAAAATAATGTTTTTTATTTCCACACAAAGGGTATTTTTTTTAATGACTTTATATTCTTTAATCAATTCAGTGCTTTAATTTGATTCATGGTAATATTATTTTTAGATTTTATCACAGAACATGCCAATGCTATCTCCGTAATATAAATATCAACTTAGGCCCTAATTATAAAAAGATATCAACTGAATTGTTAGTTTAATTAAAGTTGCACAATGTGCCATACAGTACTAGTGGTAAACTGGCTGGTAAATGTAATAAATATTTTATTTTGAAGTAAAATAATCTCTATGCATGTCATTTAGCGAAGGACCTATCTTCCCCTAAATTATCTTCCATTAACATATCGTGACAATTGAAAAACAGGGGTATTTATATTGCAGATTAATTGTTGTAATATTACTAGCGTAATGAAAGTAAAAAGCTGCAAGGTAGCCTTCCTATTTGAGATACTTAATTTAGTATATTCACGTAGGAAAATGATTTTATACCTTTGATGTTGAATATTGACCTTATTTTTGCCGTATATAATTATAAATCATGTTAAGGACATCTATTAATTTGTGATGCTTTTTCCCATAAATGTTGGTGTTTGTCTTTTATTTGAATGTTTTCTAAGAAATCTATTCTAAGAAAGTATAATACATACTCCATCGTGTTGGGATTCAATATTTATGTCATCATCAGGAACGGCGTGTATTTCAATACTTGGGAGTATGTATTATAATTTTTTGTCTATTCTTGTACTGTAAATTATTTTATCCAATCACTATGTACGATTGCAATAAAGTTGAATTCTGAATTTGATGTGTATTTCGTTTATAAAGTTGGCCATTTTTTGTTCAGAATATTTAGACTAGGCCTAAATAAGGAATAACACACACTGTACAAATATTGCACACAAATCTCTTTTGAACTTTTGGTGGCTCTGAAAAGAGCCGTTTGGTTTGAGACAGCAGAGTAATGTAGTTTACTTGGAGCTGGTGTATTTGGTGACAGCCTTGGTGCCTTCAGATACGGCATGTTTGGCCAATTCACCGGGCAGCAAAAGACGAACAGCAGTTTGGACTTCCCTGCTGGTGATGGTGGATTTCTTGTTGTAGTGAGCAAGACGAGATGCTTCACCAGCAATACGTTCGAAGATATCGTTGACGAAGCTGTTCATGATTCCCATGGCTCTGCTGGAGATACCAGTGTCTGGGTGAACTTGCTTCAACACCTTGTAGATGTAGATGCTGTAGCTCTCCTTGCGCTTACGTCTTCTCTTCTTGTCGCCAGTTCTGACGGCCTTAGCCTTACCGGCTTTTTTGGCAGCTTTTCCTGAAGTTTTTGGAGGCATGTTTTCTATGTGGTCTACAAATAGATGAGTGACGAACGTCTGAACGAGCACGGTATTTATAGAGTGAGATATGCAAAGTAGGACTTCTCGGTCGGCTGTATTATCTCAATGGTTCCTATTGGTTGTGGAAAACGCGCGATTTATTGAATTGGTGATAATTGTGCTATGCGGGCTAATCAACAGCATATGAGTCATTATCAAACCTATTTTTCTAAACACGCGCCAAAAATTAGTTACAGTAAAATGACAATGCAATTGAAATGACGCCCAATTTCCAAGTTAAGTAAATACAAATAATTAGTATATGGCAGATAATAACACATTACTAATAATGTGTGTAAATATATCTGTGGTACGATATTGATTTTATTCTGCTATCTTGACAACGATTAATTCTCTTTAAACATAAAATATAATAGAGATATGTTATACACACAAATAAGAGTGTAAAAACGTGTAAAATCACAATGTACATAGTTTAAAAAAATACAAATTGATATTGAAGATTTTAAAACTTTAGGCCTGCTCTAATTGTTTAGTTGGGGATATTTTATCCCGAATTAAACTGGTCTAATTTAAAGAACCCCACATTTTTTGTTCGTGGATCTGCTGCGGGCCCTTTTGAATTGGTAGACCCCCAATTATTTTTTGGGCCGATGGTGTTGTTTTATTGGCAAATAATGAACACGAAATGATAAAAATGTTAGATATCGCAGGGAAGTGTGCAAAGGAGTAGAAGTCAAGTTTCAATAATGAAAAAACTCTGAGGAAAACTTATTAACCGGGAGAAACAATGGAATATTGGTGAAAAATTCATGAGTTAGATTGCTATAAATATTTGGAAGTTATAATTTCCTCAAATCAAAAAGCACCTAACCAATACCAACATATGATTTAAAAAAGAAACCGCTTAATTTCGTATATTAATGGTATAATTGGAAACCTTGATGATTTTAATAGATTCTATTATGGTAGTATTCTCTGGAAGACAATAGCGCTTCCATCAATTAATTATACAAAATAATGACTTAGAAAAACTACAATTACACCGGACCAGATATCTACTTAAGGCTCTTCGCTGCACACCTCAAGAAGCATGGGGATTTTGGCTGGACCCCGTTATCAAAAACACATGAAATTTTACTAAAATTAAATTAATTAACCGTGTAATAAATATGAATGAAAATTGGTGGCCGAATACCTTAACCCATTGCACGCTTCAACTCAATTGCAACTTTGATATGTTAAATTACACATTTGTTGATTTGTGTAAGAATAAACTTGCTAAATGAAACGATTTAAATATGTTTGAACAAGTTTTCAATTAGGATAACTTTTCTTTTAATTCTTTTTTTTTTTTAGAACTGTTGATATACTTGTTGCAGACTCATACAACATTTAGTGGGCAAACCAAATTAACCAAAAGTCCTCTTGAAGATTATTCAAAATTAAAATCTCTACGAGGACTTGAGAAATATCTTTCTTGAAGAAACTAACCAAAAGTAATGTTATGGGGGCAAGGGTATAATTGAAATCAAGACCTAACACATCACCCCAGGACCTGCAAATGGTCTAAAGAAATAACTGATCAGTGTACCTTATGCTGAAGTGGTGAAATTGAAGATATCCATCATTTTTTATTTATGTAAATCATCTGATACAACCAGAGAATTAAATTTTGCGAGACTGCAACATGACTTAATTTTTACTAATTTTCAATGATAAACTTGAATTCGACCTTTAGGTAAATGCTCCTATATACATACATACACAAACATAACCTTGTGTCTTTGATTACTAACCACACAGATTATATATATATATATATATAACTGTCTCTTATACACATCTAGATGTGTATAAGAGACAGATTCTATATATATATATATATATATATAATATATATATATATATATATACTGTATTATTATTTTTTTTTATCATGTCCATATATATATATACATATATATATATATATATATATATAGCTTAAATGTATACTCCACGTAGATTGGAAATAAGTTTATAAGACAGAATAAATATATATATATACACACCGTTTATATACAAGATTATAGGCCCCTACGTCTTATATCAGTTAATCTCCTCGTTGCAGATATAGCACATAAGATATATTATTGTTATAACAGGGTGTCAAAAAATAAAATATATAAAATAAACACAAAGACAAGACAAATATTGCTTCCTTCTCTTTTAAACAAATTGTGGCTCTGAAAAGAGCCTTTTGGTTTGAAATAACTGATGACAGCTTATGCACGTTCACCGCGTATACGGCGGGCCAGTTGGATGTCTTTCGGCATAATGGTTACACGTTTAGCGTGGATAGCACACAAGTTGGTATCTTCGAAAAGACCGACCAAGTAAGCTTCGCTAGCCTCTTGAAGAGCCATGACGGCAGAACTTTGGAATCGGAGATCGGTTTTGAAATCTTGGGCGATTTCTCTGACTAGACGTTGGAATGGGAGCTTGCGGATGAGAAGCTCGGTGCTCTTCTGGTATCGACGAATCTCACGGAGAGCGACGGTTCCAGGCCTGTAACGATGAGGCTTCTTGACACCACCGGTGGCTGGTGCACTTTTACGTGCTGCCTTGGTCGCAAGTTGTTTTCGGGGAGCTTTTCCTCCGGTAGATTTACGGGCAGTTTGCTTTGTACGAGCCATTTCTGTTTTTAATTTGAATTGATGCTTAGCTTCGAAAATGTCATGTGCTTATATATTAAGCCGGTTTTAGAAAAACCAACGTGATTGGTCAAATAGGTGCTTAAGAACACGTCCGTAAAGTATGGCGCGTTCTTTCCTAAAAGTCTTTATTGATTCAGAGTAAATAGCCTTGTCAATTTGAAGTGACCTTTATTCTAATTGTTCTTTGTTTGGAATTTCAAATGGTGATATACATACTGTACTTATATATGTAATCTATATAGGGTGTATATGTACGTAGTGTGTAAAGTGATGTATAAGTATAGGTGTGTATGTATAATATGTATATGAATGCATATACAGTATATATGTATGTATATATACTGTATATGTATTTGTGTGTACATATTGTATAAGTTTTCAGTTTGGATGCAAATTGGTTGTTTTGTTTGCTCTATATTTGTTTTTTGTTTTATTCTGTTTACTTTCACTTTGGATGTTCGTTTCGATTAACCACTACTTTAAGTTTTATAACTGTGTACTCTTTTATACATGCACTTTGGTTGATCATTTCTTTTATTAGTTAAGCATTTCTTAAAGTTCTACACTACGGTAGTTTCGAAGCGGTGACAAAGACTACAGGAGTAGCCGAAATATTCACCTAATAAATTTTAGTGTTTCTAAAGTCAACATCTTACATATTTAAGTTTCTTTACTGTTACGTTATATTATATTCTATATACATATATATGAATATACACACATACACATATATATGTATATATATATAATACATATATATATATATATATATATATATTCAATAAAATAAAATAAAATAAAAAAAAAAAAAAT